CCCCCCCCCCCCCCCCCCCCCCCCCCCCCCCCCCAGCCCCTCCCCTCCCCTCCCCTCCCCTCCACGTCCAGGGACCCTGAGGTCATCCCCTCACAGCTCTCCAGTCCCGTCAGCAACCCGTCACTGCTCTTCTAAGTTGTGCCTGAAGCTTAATCTAAAGACAGTGCTAGCGGTTTAGTGTTTACGACGCCAGCACCCCGCTCTTAGGGAGTCCGCACAGATACTTGTATGTGAATGTTCAGAGCAGCGCTATTCATGGTAACCAGGAGTGGGTGGAAACAACCCAGGTGCCCATGAACTTGGTGGAGAGGTCTGTGGGACTCGGATGCCCTCTGTGGTCCACAGCCCAGCCCGGCGCGGATCTGGGTCCTCTGCAGGAGGAAGAGCTGGACATGGGTGGGGAGCGAGGGTGAGCTGGGCGGGGGGGCGAGACTGGGAAGGGCCTTCAGAGGGTAAGGTGCCGCCACACGTTCACATCCACGGCCACTGGACAAGGACCACGGGGGGGGGGGGGGGGGGGGGGGGGGAAGCAGTGCCCCTCCCTCAGCCACGCCCACGAGGCACCAGCAGCTACGCTGTGAGAGGCGCGAGGCCCTCGCAGCACAGGTGAATGCCAGCCCAGTCGTGTCCTAATTAGGCACTGGCGGTGGGGACGCAACGGAGGCGTGGACTGTGGCGATGCGGTACCCACCGGCCATGCAGCCAGGGTGACGGGGCAGGAGGGTAGTGGGGCCTCTAGCTGTGTGGGTGCCATAGGTGTGGGGAGCTCCCACCTGCAGTCAGTGGGTGCTGGAGATGGAACCGCTGCTATGGAAGTGGTGGTGGTGTCCAGACCATGACTGCGGAGCAGTCGGTTGTAAGAAACTTCTTGACAAGTAAAACCTTTTGTGGAGTGAGTCCAGCGAGACCAAGATATGTAAACTATGTGCTTGTTTATCCTGTCTGTAATCTCAGAAAGTGCCTTTATCATGTCTGTAATCTCAGAAGAGGCAGAAGGGGTACAGTGAACTTCAAATAATTTGTATATTTTTGTACTTTAGGAGAATGAATTCTCACAAGCCAGTAGCTATGCAGATTTAGCTGTGAACTCTGACAGATATAACCCGTCAGCTCTTACTAATAAAGGGAATACAGTTTTTGCAAATGGTGACTATGAGAAGGCAGCTGAATTCTATAAAGAGGCTCTAAGAAATGATTCTTCTTGTACTGAAGCACTTTATAATATTGGTAAGTGAAACAGACAAAATTGCCTTTTTTTTTTTTTTTTTTTTTTTGCTTATAAAGCTCCAATTCATTGAGAGGAAGAGTTCCTTGCAACAAAAAGTTGAAAAGAAGCCTCTTGGATTATAGACTATTTTTAATGGAATTAATGACTCAGAATCTGGACGCTTGTGAGATTTGGGTAGATGTAGCCGAAATTCCCTCTAAAAAGACTTCCAGGTTCCTCCCACCGTGGTATGAGAATGTTTCCCGAATTCCTGCTAATACTGGATATTATAATTCAACTTTTGCCAAATTGATAGGTGGGGAAAAAAATCTCATTTTCTTCCTTTTTTTTCTTTTATAAATTTTTTTATGTTTGGCTGCGTTGGGTCTTTGTTGCTGCGCACAGGCTTTCTGTAGTTGCGGTGAGCGGGGGCTACTCTTCTTTGCGGTGCGTGGGCTCTAGGTGCATGGACTTCAGTAGTTGTGGCACACGGGCTCAGTAGTTGTGGCACGTGGGCTCAGTAGTTGTGGCATGCAGGCTCAGTAGTTGTGGCACATAGGCTTAGTTGCTCCGTGACATGTGTGCGATCTTCCTGGGCCAGGGCTTGAACCTGTATCCCCTGCATTGGCAGGTGGGCTCTTAACCACTGCACCACCAGGGAAGTCCCTTCCTTTTTAATTACAAACATATTTCAAACATTAAAAAAGAGAGAGAAAAAGCATACCTCTGTACCTACCACCTATATTTAACACATTTTTACATTTTGTTATTTTTACTTCAGATTTTGTCTTTAATAAACTGTTAAAGACCTGAAGGCTCACACCACCCCATCCCTCCCCTGCCTGTCAGAGGTCACCTGACCCCCATCGTGTCCCCCTGTCGTGCCCCCCCGGTTGTGCCCCCCCCGTCATGCCCCCCCGGTCGTGCCCCCCCGTCGTGTCCCCCAGTCATGACCCCCATCGTGTGCCCCCGTCGTGGCATCCCCCCGTTGTGTCCCCCTCATCTCCCCCACCCCCACCCCATCATGAGCTCGTGCTGTTGCAGACACATGTTGATGCAGTGCAGGCTCATGTCTTGGCTTCAGTGAAGTTTCCTCTGAAGGTTTCTTCTCCTGCTTCTTTGGTTGGCTTGTTCATGTTATCCTCTCTTTACTGTGACGATCTTTCCTCCTTGTCTGATGAGCCTGGCCTTCTCCTCGTATCTAGGAGTTTGCAGCTGAGGCAGAGTGGGACCTTCGAGGCCTGCCCACTCCCCACCATGCACCGTCTGTCTCATTGTGTCCTGAGGGTGTCCAGGCAGCTGGATCTCTCCTCCCCGGGCTGGGCTGGGTGGGACGGGAGGGGCAGGGGGCATTAGCAACTCTACCTGGCACTGAGGGGTTAGGAGAAGAGGGGTGAGTATGGGGGCCTGGGGGTCACGAGGTCACTCACCAGGCCTCCGTCCATTTGACCTCTTCATATGTTTAAATGCCTCTCTTAGTCCGTCGCTTAAGGGAGCTTTATAATTTCTTCTGTGAAACAGAATTTTTCTATTTTTTATGTAGTCAAATTTGGTTTTTGAAAATTTGTGGCTTCATTTGTTTATTGCTTTATGAAGCCCTTCCCTACCCCAAGATTACAAAATCATTTTCCTTTCATGCTTTTATAGCTTTGTTTTTCTATTTAGTTTTGAAATAAAAATTGAATTTATTTGAAAAAGGAATAAATTCAAGAGAGGAATGTGTGGGTTTTTCGTCATGTGTAATCACTTGTCCTGGCACTGTTTATTACTTGTCCCTTAGTCCTCCTTGAGTTTGTTTATTTTTTTTTAATATTTATTTATTCATTCATTCATTCATTCTGGCTGCGCCTGGTCTTAGTTGCAGCATGCATGCAGGATCTAGTTCCCCAACCAGGGATCGAACCCAGCCCATCATCATTGGGAGCACTTTTTTTTTTTTTTTTTTTTTGCGGTACGCAGGCCTCTCACTGTTGTGGCCTCTCCTGTTGCGGAGCACAGGCTCCGGACGCGCAGGCTCAGCGGCCATGGCTCACAGGCCCAGTCGCTCTGCGGCATGTGGGATCTTCCCGGACCGGGGCACGAACCCGTGTCCCCTGCATCGGCAGGCGGACTCTCAACCACTGTGCCACCAGGGAAGCCCGGGAGCACAGACTCTTACCCACTGGACCACCAGGGAAGTCCTAGTCCTCCCTGACTTTAACTGAATTCTGTAACCCAGCCCATTTCTGAACTGTTTGTGCTGTTCTTTCAATGTTTGTCATTCCTGCTCCCCTCAACACTTCAAAACATACACTAAAGCTTTCATGATTTAGTGTCTGCCAAACATTAGTGGAATTTCCTGCCCCTGCCTTGTTCCTTTTTTTTTTTTAATTGTGTTTATCTTTATTTTCTCTTTTGGATGAATATTTACCTATATTTAAATATTCATTCTGTTACTTTGAGAAAATTACTGCCAGTACCGGTATTTATAGCTTACCTTTCTTTCTCTTCCTTCTTTGTAAAGGCCTTACCTGTAAGAAGCTAAACCGACTTGATGAAGCTTTGGACTGTTTCCTGAAACTTCACGCAATCCTAAGAAACAGCGCCCAAGTCCTTTACCAGATAGCAAATATGTATCTTATGTGAAAAACTTAAGGACAGTTATTAATTCACTCAGTTGGTGATTGAGTACCACTTATTAAATAAGCTTAACCAGTGAATTAATTGATGGGGGTATATTTTAAAACCTGACTATCAAATTAATATGTGATGAAAATATGATTTGAGTGATCCTGTTTTAAAGGGTCATTTGCATTATAGGAGGAATTATTTAGAAGTTGCAACTATTATTAATTTTTAGACATAGTAATTGAAGTAATTGGGTATCATGTCAAGTCCACACAAGATGTTCATTGAGCATAATTTAGACCCTTTAGGGAATTCCCTGGCGGTGCAGTGGTTAGGACTCCTCGCTCTCACTGCCAGGGCCCAGATTTGATCCCGGGTCAGGGAACTTAAGATCCCACAAGCCATGTGGCACAGCCAAAAAATAAATAAATAAATAACGATAATGATGAAAAAATTTTAAGTATTGTCTCCTGTGCTTCTGGTAGGGTAGATAAAATTTTTTTGATAAAAAATGTTAATTTTAGAGCAGATAGCGGCATAGTTATTTCTTTTAGCCTTTTTGTTTTGTCCAGTTCATTTCTCTGAAGGTGCCAGTGTCATGACCTGCTGGTGCCCAGTCAAGCAGTTGTTGTGTTTGAGGCTGTTTGAATACATTTCCTTATTTTAATGTTTTTCTTATGGTATCACATTTGTCATCATTAAAAGTAGAAGGCTCTTCTTTTTTTTTAAATAAATTTATTTATTTTATTTCTTTATTTTTGGCTGCGTTGGGTCTTCGTTGCTGCACGCAGGGTTTCTCTAGTTGCGGCGAGCGGGGGCTGCTCTTCATTGTGGTGCACGGGCTTCTCATTGTGGTGGCTTCTCTTGTTGCGGAGCGCGGGCTCTAGGCGAGCAGGCTTCAGTAGTTGTGGCACACGGGCTCAGTAGTTGTGGCTTGTGGGCTCTAGAGCACAGGCTCAGTAGTTGTGGCACACGGGCTCAGTAGTTGTGGCTTGTGGGCTCTAGAGCACAGGCTCAGTAGTTGTGGCGCACGGGCTTAGTTGCTCCGTGGCATGTGGGATCTTCCTGGACCAGGGCTGGAACCCATGTCCCCTGCATTGTCAGGCGGATTCTTAACCACTGCACCACCAGGGAGGCCCCAAGGCTCTTCTTTTTCAATGAAACTTTGGATTGGAATATTTTCATGTCATTAAGGCAGCTAATATAAATAGTAAGTAATCAATAAGTACTGGTGTGAATAAATTATTTGAGTGCATGCAGAGGACTTACTAGGCATTAAAGCTACAAAAAACTGTCTTGGGCTTGTAATGTAATTAGGGAAAACTCACCAGAAAATACATGGAAACCATTCCTTTAAAATGTTGAACACTTAAGAGAGGTGGAATAATTGAAACACAGCACTCAGGCTTTTTTTTTTTTTTGCGGTACGTGGGCCTCTCACTGTTGTGGCCTCTCCCGTTGCAGAGCACAGGCTCCGGATGCACAGGCTCAGCGGCCATGGCTCACGGGCCCAGCTGCTCCGCGGCATGTGGGATCCTCCCAGACCGGAACATGAACCTGTGTCCCCTGCATCAGCAGGCGGACTCTCAACCACTGTGCCACCAGGGAAGCCCCAGGCATTTTTATTAAGGACAAATTTTGGACAAAACTTTGAATAAAACAGCACACTATTAATTCTACTAGTGTGGCAGTTGATCTTAGTGGGTAGTAATGAAGTAAAAGGAAAAGCAAGATGTGTGTGTGTGTGTGTGTATATATGTGTGTCCCATATACATATATAGGGGACAGAAGTGTTATTGACCATTTTTCATCCTCATCCCTGACGAAATCCAGAGTAAACAGTATTAAGTAGCACATTAGTATAGACTAAGAAATATTTTTATGAAATGTTGGTTTTAGGTTTGCTTATTGATCAATGAATTTAGAAAAATTGTGTTATCCTTCATTGAAATTGTCTAAGATACGAGTTAATGGAAGATCCCAATCAAGCTATGGAATGGTTAATGCAGCTGATCAGTGTTGTTCCAACTGACTCCAGAGCTTTGTCTAAACTGGGAGGATTATATGACAGTGAGGGGGATAAATCCCAAGCATTCCAATATTACTATGAGGTGGGTGTGCAGTCTTGCCTTCCTTCTGCTTTTTAGCCTTTTATGAATTGTTATAAAAAAGACAGCAGGCCTTTTAATTTTTAAAAATTATAAATGCTTATTAGCTTTTAAATAAATAATTTAAAATAAAACATTTGTGGAATATAAAGTTAGTTTTTGATTATTTTAATAAAAGGTAAAATAAAAGGTACCAGTGCATTTTTCTCTTGAAGGGTGATTTAATCCCTTTGAGTCTATTGCATACTTAATTTGACTCAGATCATATATCAGTACATCAAAAAGATATTTATAGATAATTGAAAAATGTGTCAAACTAATCTTAAGTTTTCCAAATCTTATATAGTTTCAAAACTTGAACAGTACTTGTGACAGCTCATACTTTTTAAGTAAGAAATGTCACACTGTATACATTAATCCAGCTGGTGGGGAAGATGTTGGGGAGTGAACTGTGCATTGTGACTGAAGTTCTTTTGTCACACCTCCCTTTCCAGTCGTATAGGTATTTCCCGTCCAATATTGAAGTCATCGAGTGGCTTGGGGCCTATTACATCGACACCCAGTTTTGTGAAAAAGCCATTCAGTACTTTGAAAGAGCTTCTCTTATACAGTAGGTAACTGTTACGATTTTATGTTTAGTTAAATGTCTACAATCTGATAGACATACTGAGTTCATGAACAGTTATTCGTGAACATTCAGGCATCGTTTTGATTTTCTTGTATTGTGTTTCATTTGACTTGGTCTTTATTATGATAAATATATTTCCTTTTTATGCAAATGTTTTAAAAATACCTTCAAGGTACTTTTCTGTGTGTATTTTTCTTTTTCACATCTCAGTAAACAAGTATTATTTCTTTATCAATCAGAAAATGACTCTCTCATTCCAAAGACAAAGTTTCATTTCTGAAAGAGTCCTAATTGAAATGTTTCATTGGTCTCAGTTTGTAATTGATATACATTATATATTAAAAATCAGGACTTCCCTGGTGGCGCAGTGGTTAAGAATCCGCCTACCAATGCAGGGGACACGGGTTTGAGCCCTGGTCCGGGAAGATCCCACATGCCACGGAGCAGCTAAGCCCGTGTGCCACAACTACTGAGCCTGCACTCTAGAGCCCACGAGCCACAATTAATGAAGCCCATGTGCCACAACTACTGAAGCCCACGCGCCTAGAGCCCACAAGAGAAGCCACCGCAATGAGAAGCCCACGAACCGCAACGAAGAGTAGCCCCCGCTCACAGCAACTAGAGAAAGCCTGCGTGCAGCAACAAAGACCCAACGCAGCCAAAATTAAATAAATTTATTTTTTTAAAAAAAGAAAGAAAAAAAAAAAAAAGAAAGCAGGAGTAGCAATATTAACTTCAGACAGAACAGAAATCAAACTTATAAAAAAATCAAATTCTTAAAAATGTCTTTAAATTCATATCAGAATGTTTTATACATTATTCAAAAATAATTGGGATATGTCATGTTGTGTTTTGTGTTTGGCCAAATTGAATTTTAACATTAGATATGGGGAAAGGGGAGCCGGGAGGGACAAGGTATCGGTAAGGGATTACGAGGTACAAACTACTATGTATAAAATAAATAAGATACAAGGATGTATTGTGCAGCACAGTGAATATAGCCAATATTTTATAATAACTATAAATGGAGTATAATCTATAAAAATTTTGAATCACTGTGTTGTACACTTGAAACTAATATTGTAAATCAGCTATACCTCAATTTGAAAAAAAATAAAAGAGAAGTGAGGAGAGCATTAAATTATTCCCTAGTCTTTTATTCCTTCAAATTTTGTTTTTCTCAGAAATTTTTAGTAGTAGTCTTTAGAAATTCTGGTCATGTTTATTTTAGAAAAGAAATTCACTTCTATTTTAAGGGAAAAAAAAGAATGAATAGATTTCTTTTTTACTTTCTTTTTAGTTGAAGTCTAATTGTTCAAACACAAGGTCAAAAATTGCCTCTTGGATACTAAATTTGCAAGCCTAAACCTAGGTTTCTAAGCCTTAGGTACTAAGTATAAGATATGGCAAAGGTAATAAAAATGGTTAAAATAGAATGCTGTGGTCTTTACGCAAACTGGGGAGGCAGTTCTTCTAAGAATGTCTAAACAAAGGTGTGAGTTAATTGAAGGGCTCTAAATGTAAATTTCCTAATATCAGTATGACAGATAATAATGAAGGAAATTGTATATATGCTGTTGTTAATAATAAAGACGACCTAATCAAATGTCAAAAAGTAATTGAAAGCTAGTACCGATATGTAGCTTAGCTTTATAAAACTGTTTGGCCATCACAGATTATTTTTGTTTCATCTCTAATTTCACATAATTTCTTTTACAGGCCTACACAAGTGAAGTGGCAGCTGATGGTAGCTAGCTGTTTTAGAAGAAGTGGTAAATGCTTTAATTTTATTCACTTTAATATATGTTGCTTGTTTCTATCTTTTAGGTAATTATGCATATAAATGTGTTCCTATTGTAGATTTATTTATTAAGATTAACTTTTGATAGTACACATATCAAACATTATACGAAAGACACAGTGTTTACTACATACAGTTAAAAGTTACGTTTACTAACCCGCATCCCCTGCATTGGAAGCGGGGAGTCTTAACCACTGGGCCGCCAGGGAAGTCCCATCTAGTCACCTCATTCTAAACATCCTGTGTGCTCTGCCCAATGTGTGAGCCTCTCTCACACCTGAAAAGCTGAGGAGAGCCCAGAACTGGGGCCGCAGGACCTGATTTTGTACAGCAGATGTCACTAGTCATCCTGGTTGTGTTTTCAGTGTCAGTCTTTATCTCGTCCTGTGCTGCTGGCCTGTTCTGCAGTGTCAGTGTGTTAATGGTTTGGGACTAGCCATGAAGTGAATGATACTGTTAAAATGTCAGGATTAAGCAGGAGATAAATGTTAACACTGTGGTTAAAATGTTTAGTTAAAATAACATGCTAATGTAGTTAAGTGTGAAAAATGCAGTCCCTCTTATAGAGCAACCAGATGTCCAGGAGAGCTCCCTCACCCAGGGAAGCGCGAGCTGTGACCACCGGCAGCGGTCCCTGCCGTTTCTTAGGGCCCTCTGTCTGCCTCTGAGAGCCCCTCAGGTGGCAGCGGGACACAGGTGCGGTGTGACCTCAGGTCATTTTGCGGGTTGGTCTCTAATGTTACCGTGTTTCCTGTTGGCGGAAAGACCTCTCTGTATACACATTTCATTTATGTCAGGGCGAGTCCGAGTTGCCTGCGCACGTGTAGTGCCTGTCCTGTGACGTGTGTGTGTGTGTGTGTGTGTGTGTGTGTGTGTGTGTGGCCAGGGGAAGAGCGGCCACCTTAGCCGGCCCGGCCGCGCTCTGGGTGCTCCGCTCTCCGTCTTGTTCAGCCTCCACCCCGACGCCGAGGCCAGCGGGCCACCCCCTTGTGCAGGAGGCCCAGACGTAAGGGCATAACTCTTTCCTGAGATTTTAGCAAAGGTCTTTGATCCAAAATTCGTTTTTCCTATTCTTTGCTGCCATGTGAAGCTAAATTATTTTATTACAAAACAAAATGCTTTCTGTAAACTTTTTAATGTTTGAATATAAAAACTGCAAAACAAGTTATTTTGCATCTTTTCCAAGTGAATAACATTGAAATTAATGTTATTACTTCATTTTAAGAAGTAGAACTAAGTTTCAACCATTTACTTCCGCTCTGCGCCTTTTTCAGATTTATTTTGTCTGTACATTTTCTTCCAGAAGTTATATTGAGGGACCTCCCTGGCGGTCCAGGTGTTAGGACTCCACACTTCCACCGCATGGGGCACAGGTTTGATCCCTGGTCGGGAACTAAGATCCCACATGCTGCACAGCCAAAACAAACAAACAAAAAACAGAAGTTATATTGGGAACGGTTGTTTATGCCTGTGGCAAACATGGAAGTCATCCTTCTAAACCAATGAAATGGTGCCAGAATATTGAATTTAAATTAGTATTTTGCTGAACCTGTTCATTTCTATAATCTGCTAGTATGTTTGTTTTTCCTCCTTCACTTATAGGTAACTACCAAAAAGCATTAGATACTTACAAAGATATTCACAGAAAATTTCCAGAAAATGTTGAATGTAAGTGAGACTACATTTTGTAACTTTGAAAGTATAGGTTCTCACATTTTATGTCCTAATATGTAATAATTACCTTTGCTACAGTAATTGCATACATAGATACCAACCTATAATTTGCGGTACATGTTTAAATATGTGGTTATAGGATCAGAAAATTTGACTATGCAAGTACACATTTTTATAGAATTTAATTCTTGACGGATTTAAATATACCACTGAATTCTCTTCAGTAGTAAACAGATCTATATTTCAAAGCTTTATGAAATTTTAAGAATAAATTTTGTTTTATTATTTTTTAAAGTTCATAAACTGGTATTTTATAGAAAAGGCATTTTATTTATTTTAAAAAAATTCTTTTTTATAAATTTATTTATTTTATCTTTGGCTGCATTGGGTCTTCGTTGCTGCAGGCGGGCTTTCTGTAGTTGCGGCGAGCGGGGGCTACTCTTTGTTGTGGTGCACGGGATTCTCATTGCAGTGGCTTCTTGTTGCGGAGCACAGCCTCTAGGCGTGCAGGCTTCAGTAGTTGTGGTACGTGGGTTCAGTAGTTGTGGCACGTGGGTTCAGTAGTTGTGGCTCTCAGGCTCTACAGTGAAGGCTCAGTAGTTGTGGTGCACGGGCTTCGTTGCTCCGCGGCATGTGGGATCTTCCCGGGCCAGGGATCGAACCCATCTCCCCTACATTGGCAGGCGGATTCTTAACCACTGTGCCAGCAGGGAAGCCCTAGAAAAGCATTTTAAACCATCCATTTAATTATAACTTTTTGAGACTGAAAAAATACCTTTAGAGTTTATGATAATAGAACATTAATAATCTTGCTGATACTGGTAGCAAATTAATTTTAAAACATTATGTTATATGTAACTTATTTCCCTTTTATAAAGTTGGCTTTGTATAAAATATTCATTTCTTCCAATCTTATAGCACAGTGGATTTGATGCAACCTGAAGTAACAGTGTTACAGTAACAGCAACAAGATCAGGATCCGGAAAAGTACAAAATAACCATATTCATAGGTCTCATATTCTCACTAAACTATATATGGCCCCAGTAGCTTTGTGACTAAAGGAAAAAGGGAAGATACAGTGGGTTTTATAATCTTTACTATTTATAAGAAAATAAAAAGTAATTCCTTGGGAAGAAGAAAATCCTTTCAACTCTTACTTCAGTTGTGTTGAGACACAGAGGAGAGTAGATAAACGGTCACTGGAAGACGTCATAGCTCCTATAGCTTTACTAACATCCGTCCAACAAATAAAATAATGTGTTTGAAAAGTCCGTTTTGAATGTTGTCCTTCAATGACCATGCACACAAAACAGCACATTTCAGTAAAAACAGATCTTTTCTGGGCCACGTTTTCAGTGGCGCAGCCTGATCCAGGGGTTAGATGTGCTGCATGTTCCTTCAGTAATATTTTTCTCAATTTGACTTTTGTGAAAGCAGAGAGCTCAGAATTATGGCCTTTGGTAAGAGCCTAGGGGCGAGGAGTTTTGTAATGCTGGTCACATGTGGGTCCATTAGCTCACAGCAGTTTCTGAATGCCAGTCAGAAAACAGCATACATGGGAATTACTTGTAAAACTTGTAAAAACTACAAATCTGTAGCCCAACCTACAGAGATTCTCATTCAGGTTTGCAGTGGACCCAGATATCTGATTTTTCCTATTTCTTTTTTTTTTCTCATCTATTTATTTTTCTGTTTCTTTTTTAACAGCTTTTAATGTGATTCTTAACTTCAGTCACATTGGGGAACTGATACTTTAAAGATTAAATGAGAGCAGTAATAGCTTTTGGGGAATGGAAACCCAACAGTCCGCTGGGCAGAGCTTCTCAGCTTCAGCAGCACTGACATTTGGGATCGGATAATCCTGTGCTGTGGGGCCATCTGTGGATTCTAGAATGTTCTAGCAACATCCCTGCCCTCCACCCACTGGGTGCCAGGAGCACACCTCCTGTTATGACATTGTCAGGTGTCCCCTGGGGATGCAGCTGCTGCCGGTTGAGGACCACTGCAGTAGCTGCAGCACCTCCGCACCGGACAGCAAAGAGAGCATCTCCAAGCAAGGCCACTTTTCTTTCTTTAGAGAGAGTTTAAGATTCACTGTAACAGTTGAATGATTGGGACTTCCCTGGTGGTGCAGTGGTTAAGAATCCACCTGCCAGTGCAGGGGACACGGGTTCGAGCCCTGGTCCGGGAAGATCCCACATGCCGCGGAGCAACTAAGCCTGTGTGCCACAACTACTGAGCCTGTGCTCTAGAGCCCATGAGCCACAACTACTAAACCTGTGCTCTAGGGCCCGCGAGTCACAACTACTGAAACCCGCGCGCCAAGAGCCCGTGCTCCGCAACAAGAGAAGCCACCGCAATGAGAAGCCCATGCACCGCAATGAAGAGTAGCCCCTGCTTGCTGCAACTAGAGAAAGCCTGCGTGCAGCAACGAAGACCCAACGCAGACAAAAATAAATAATTTATTTTTTTGAAAAACTGTTTAAAAAAAAAAAGTTGAGTGATTATCTGTGCCGTGGGGAATGTCCAAGGTACTTTGGCCTGTTTAATTTTCAAAACAGGTGTAATCAGTAGTCTGCCTTATGGTAGCATAGGAAAAACACTTGCACTCATGTAAGGTCTCACTTTGAGCAGAGTACTTTTCTGATGAACCCAAAGGGTGATTTTGTCTTAAAATACATTCTTCTGTTATCAAAAATTGACCTGTAGTCGAGTATTATTTGTAGAAAATATAAATTACCTTCTTACTGTGCATTATCAGGGTAAATGTATACATAGGCAATTTACGCAGTAGTAATGTGTGACATTTTAGATTATTTTAGTACCATTACTTTTGCAATACATTAATGGTCATGAATTAGTCACTAACTTACAAATTCTTATGGGGTGACTGCAGTGCTGGTACACAGCACTGTTCCCGCCCTGTGGGTGTGGCAGAAAACAAGACAGACCAAAATCCTGGCCTCATGGAGCTTGGATTCTAGTGGGAAGAAAAAGACAATAAACAAGTATATAGTATGTCAGGAGTCGTAAGTGGTATAAAGGAGAAGCAGGTGAGGAGATAAAGGCTCGGGTTATAGATGCTGTGGTCTCTCCTGAAGGGCGGGTGGCAGAGTCCCTCTAAACCGTCTTCCCAGGAGGTCAGTTCTCAGAGGGCCAGGAATACAAAGTGCAGTGATTTTTCAAGAGAAACAAACCCTGTTTGTGAGCAGCATTCCTACCCGGGTCCCAGAAGACTGAGCTTACTGATTTATTGTTCTTTGAACGCCATGGATAAATACTTTTCTAAAAATATTTTTCATAATTTAGGTCTACGTTTCTTGGTTCGTCTCTGCACAGATATTGGATTAAAAGAAGTTCAAGAATATGCAACAAAACTCAAGAGATTGGAAAAAATGAAAGAAATCAGGGAACAGGTATGTCATGTGAGCCGAAAACTGCTGTCAGTTTTGAAAATGTCAGCCTTCTGTAGCTCAGCTGAGTGATGTCTGGGCTTCTGTCAGTAAAATTAAGTTGCAGTTATTTTTCTGCTGTGGCATGAAAGGAAAAATAACTAAAACTCTAGTTTTAGGATAAAATTCAGTCAAAATCTAGTTCCTAATCAGAGAAAGTGCAGTAGATTCAGTGTAGTCTTTAGTGGAAATCTACTAATAGACTAACAATTGTAATTTCTCCAGTACAAAATAGCTGCAGGTTAAGTTGTAGACGTAACTTCAGCTGGAGAGTCTCGTGGCCTGTGGAAACCAGGAGACAGTCACTTGCCTACAACAGCAGTTCATTGGGCTGCTGTGTTGCATCGTAGGGCACGGCTCTGAGGATGGCTGATACAGAGGCTTCAGGTGTATTTCTGTGTTCCCTGCAGTGTTTTACTTCTGTGAGAGAATAATCCCTCCTGTGTTTGAGCCTAGAATATTTAAAACTTTAACATGATTTCTGAGTATCCACCTTTCATAGAAAGAAAATTCTTTAAGCTTAAGCTTTTCCAAAAATTTAATTACCTTGGGTAATTAAATCTAAATTTCGTATTTGCTTTCAAAATGTCATTATCTTGTTTTTGCTTTGAGGATGTGACCTGATTGTTTTATTCTCTTTTTTAAATTGTCAGTTGCAAAAGCATTATGAGCATGACCTTAAAAATCCTATAAAACATCAAGTTGGTATTAAAATGCCACTGCTAGGGTATATAGTTACAACCTGCTGTGAAGACCAGCTGAATACCACATACCAATTGCTAATTTAATTAGATAACCTGTGTGAAAGTTTTGTAAAATTAAACTAGTACAAATTGGAAGATCAAATTATCATAACTATCATCATAATTACTATTACATTTGTTTCATGAAGAAGAATCAAAAAGAAGTATCTATTTCAAACCATGAAATTCTTTGGAGCTCAAAACTAGTTCTGTGAAGTTACTTAGTGTAGAACCGTGGGTGCATCTGGAAGTCTTCAGACTTCGTAAGTTTAAGCATCAGTGGTTTGTCGCTTATGAATGGTGACCGAATGGTGCACATGAGCTCAGGCAAGTTCTGGATCCCGCATGGGGCCCATGTGGACCCCGCAGCCGAGTGGGAGTGGGCCTCCCGGCCGGACGCCCCCCACCCCAGTGAGGAGCTGGGAGCCTTCTAGCTCCTGCTTCCGGGGGCCGCACTCAGGCTTTAGGAAACATGGATTCCGAGGACTCCTGGGAAGTGAAATTGAGGGGTCAGGTCGAGACCTGTGCCCACCACGCACCCTCCTCAGAGCCCCCCGCCAGCCCCTGCCCTCCTTGAATCTAGACGGCCTGGGCCGCTACAGGCGCTCCTCTCCTGACGTGGCGGCCCATCACCCCGCGGTTCCCCCCCCGCACTGCACCCCCTGTCCTGATTGTTCTCGTTTGCTCATGGGGGCTTGTGATTTTACTGTTGTCAATGAGTACCGAATGTCACTGCAGTGGCTTTCCCTTTCTAATTACTACTCGGCCTGTTGATTCCTCTTCATCACAGTATTTGTGTATTCAGTGAACATAGTCAGCTTTTGTCTGTGTCTCTCATAGACCTGACCTTTTATCCTTATGTTGTACTCGCCATGGCGTAATTAAGGACACTTAGTAAGCTCAGACGAGTTACAGTTGATGCATTTAAATTACGCAGTGCTTACCTTACCTGCTCACCCATGTGAGTGCTGTGTCGCCGTGCTCGAGCAGTGTCTCTCTTCCTAATGCCTTATCACTGCCGCACTGCACCTGCATCACTTAGATACACGCTCTCGTCCCAGCCGTTCCTTCGTCTTCCTTTACGTCGCAGTCCTTATCCACAGAGCACTTTCTTTCTGTTTCCTTGAGATCAGTTTCTCCATTGTTCTTCGGGACTGCTTATTAAATCTTACATAAAGAGAAACATTTTCTTGGTGTTTTCTCACTTATATTTTACGTATGAACACAAAATTGAGGGGGAAATTAGTGGAAAAGGTCAGTCCTAGGAGAGAGAGCAGAGGCTTACAGAGAAGGAGTCCTGTGGGTATGAGAGCAGCCTACTCGGGAAATCGCTGCGTGCCCCCATGCGTTTGTCTAGATTGTGAGCCGTGGGGCAGGCGCCCTGTTTCCTGGCTGCGTGGTGCATGAGACGCTATTCGTTATGAAACAAAATGTCACAAATCAATGCCTGAAGTAAGGATGCTATCCTTTTCTAAATTTGAACTTAAAACTTCTTGTTACTTTTCCTGTGTGTCTCCTGTTTAGAATCTGTCTCAATGCAAAAACTTAACGTTTTTCCTTCGTAATTAGGATTTCTTCATAAAATAATTGCCGAGGCCTGTGTAATACCTCTTGTACAGATATATCTTGATTTCTTTGAATATTTCCACATGGTTAGGTATCTTTTTTCCAGTTGGTGACTTTCTACAGTCTGTCTAGCTTTCAGGTGTTCCTTGCTAAAGCACTGTGGGCCTCTGTGAGCGTCTGTAGTCGAGCTCGTCCATATTGTTAACTGGAGACGTTTGGGAACCAGCCACAGGGTTGAGACCAGGGATGTCCTGGATAACCACGCCACACCTTTACCTGAGCTGCTAGAAGGAATGCAGAGCTCAGCCCCAGTCTTTATCCCGTCCTTTCCCCTGCAAGTGCTGACAGTGGCAGAAGTTTGGCAGCAGAAAAGAAAAGGAGTGAAGAGGCTGGGTGGCCTTTCCTGATCTCCCTCCTCTGCTTGCAGTTTCCCCTCCTCCCACCTGATGACGTCTGCTCAGCTGGACATCAGCGACCAGCAGCGGCAACACCCAGTGCGTGATGAGTGTGGGCCGCTCTAGCCCTTTGCACGTACTGGCCAGTTTAATCGTCACAGGAGTCCTATGCTATGATGTTGGATGTGGTTTTATTATTACTGTTCTTTAAGATGAGAAACCTGAGGCCCGTGGTTGCAAAGCAACTTTCTCCAGGTCACACAGCTGTTGGGGGGTAGGCCTCAAATTCACATCCAGGAAGGCCAGCTTCTGAGTCCAGGCTCCTGGCTGCCATGCTCTGCTCCCTTACAGATAGTAGAGAAAAAGGATGATGAGAGTAATTACTTTCAGTTGGTGTATAGTCCTTACTTTTCTGCATCCAGGAAGTTGGTAGCTCACTCCATGAGCTAAACTGGAATGTACCTCTGTGAGCTCACTCTAATTTGATCAGAGCTAGGACCTCAGAACAGTGCTCTCCAAGTGTGGCCTGTGGACCCTCAGAGCCTCAGAATCGCCTGGGCTTCTTACAAAGTCTTGGGCCTCACCCCAGACTACCCCAACCCCAGAATTAAAGTCTCCGGATATGGAGTCCAAGAATCTATGTGGTTTTTAAACAAGTTCTCAAACTAATTTTTTATTCACAGACATTCCAGAAGCACTGGTGTAGTGTTATGCTTCCGAAGGGTTACCTTCAAACGATCAAACACCAGCTCAGGATACAGAATCTGCTTTAAGGGGAAAAGTAAACACAAAATAAATCAGGCCGTGGATTTTTAAAAACTGTTTTAAAACGGAAAGGGATTTGTGTAGACCTAAGAAGGAAAGATAAACAGATTCAGGGTTATGTGGATGGGGGTGATGGACCTCCCCAGGCCCCCAGCTCCAGTCTTAAAGCATGAAAGCTAGAAACTCATTTCTCTGGGCTGACTTTTCAGAGAAGTGCGTCCTCTTCTGGAACATTTATGGAGAAGGCGGCTGTTCTCGCCTTTGTTGCTGGGGGCCTGTGTTCCTGGGCGGGGAGGAAGCTTTGTGCCCTGTTCGCAGAGCCGTGGCAAACAGTCCCGGGCGTTGGGTGGAGCCGCCCCCCAGCACTGTTGGGTTTTAAGAGACAGTTCGCATTTTCGCTTCGCTGAACAGAAGAACGTTAGCTGCAAGGAACTCTTCAAACTTTATTGCACGAATGGAAGAGAGCAAAATGGGAAGACAGGAGTTGAAGGCTGAGTATTTTAAAAATGCCAAGGAAGAGAAAAATACCAGCCCACACCAAAGAGGATTAAGGGACAAAAGGAAACGATTAGGAGGGAAAAAGAAGATGGGGAAAGAGAGAGTTTACAAAACACAAAGTTTGTTTTGTTTTTTTTTTCCGGTACGCGGGCCTCTCACTGCTGCGGCCTCTCCGGCTGCAGAGCACAGGCTGCAGACGCACAGGCTCAGCAGCCATGGCTCACGGGCCCAGCCGCTCCGCAGCATGTGGGATCTTCCTGGACCAGGGCACGAACCCGTGTCCCCTGCATTGGCAGGCGGACTCTCAACCACTGCGTCACCAGGGAAGCCCCCAAAACACAAAGTTTTAATTGCTCATTCACAAATGAAGTACATTAATAATTTGTTCCTTTTTAAAAATCGAATTTCTAAATTTTTACAATATTCAAAAGGAGAATTCCTCTCCCAGTATTTGCCATTTTCCCCCCAAAGAAGTCAAATAATTTCAAGAAATTCTTTGTTTTGGCCAACTTAAAATAATATGTGACATTCAAAACTAATGTAAAATATAGTTGGTACTTATCCTCAAATTTCCAGTTATTACCAGAAGCTAGTTGAGCAGAAACCTTTTTGGTCTCAAAAGCGTTCTTAAAAGTTCTTAAAAAGAAAAAGATTTTGTATGAAGATCTCATAAAGACACAGCTTTAAATTAACTGTGAAGGAAAAATGCAAAATTTTTAAAGTTTACGTATGTAATGAAAGCTGCGAGAATGTTTCGCCCATTTTATACATTACTGCATTTATAAAGTTCAACAGAAACACAGGATAATTCATATAGCATTCATCCTTGGTATCAAGTGTGTGGTGATTTGGGCCGTGACGTTTTCCAGGGTGAGACTCCGCAACGCTCTGGTTAAAGGCCGTGGAGTCCTCGCCTGCTGGCATCACCCTGTGCTGGGTCCTTGGTTCACCTGTTCAGGAGACACTTGACATGGACGAGGTGCTCCAGCTGCTCGTCACCTGGCAGGAGAACGAGACAAACACAGGTCGCTTGTTGCCCAGCAGAGACACGCAGCGTGTGCACTGGATGGGGTTCGGCCCACGACCAGGGGTCCGAATGGTCCCCGGGGGAGGTGTGGCTGGACCTCAGGGCCTGGCGTGGAGACGGGAAGGTGTGAGAGAGGTCCGAGGGCAGGAAGGTGCGGCCACGTTCGTGAGTTCTTTGGAGTTGAAGCTGCAAAGAAGCGTCTTAAATTCTGTTTTCTCTTGAATTTGAAGTCAGAGCCAATCTTCTTAAGGATCCTTAACTAGGTAACAACTGCTCCTTGTTCTAAGACAGAAATCTAATTCTTACGGAATAAAAGCCCAGGATGGTGGACGGAACCCTGGGCTTTCCTCCCCAACCCCAGTCCGCTCCAGACCTGGTTCTCTTCAGTAAGATGAGGACAGTGTTCTCGGCTGGCCTTCACAACCGTCCACGGTGAACTTAGGTTTGTCCCAGTCTGTCACCGACATTGCTAGAAAACGACCGCATCCTTGGATGTCAGAAACGTCAAATCGCTGCGAGAGTTTGCAGCCCTCACCCTTGGGTCCTGTGACCACTGTCCTCCGGGGGCAGGTGACAGTGTGACAATGTGGGGCTGCGCGGGTCCTGGAGACTCTGCCTGTCCCCTGCAGGAGAGCAGTGTCGTGTGTTCACGGCGGGGAGAAAACACTTTCCCAACACTTACCTGTTCAATTTTCCATCATTTTATTTATATCTACTTTGCTCCTCTTCTCTTTGTACCTTCTTCTCTCATTGTTTCCCCCAAAGTGGGTATGGCATCTTTTTTTTTTCATATTATTGAAGAAACAAATGTTATTCTAAAAATTCAGGTAGATTACTTTTGTAAGTAACGTTTTAATTCAAATAAAAATGTGTTAAGGAAAAAGTGAAAATCGTTCAGCCACGACTTTGAGATCACTGTTAGCATTTTGACATTTCATAATCCCAGGCATTTTTACAAATATATGCAAACATATCAATACGTTTTTTTTTTTTTTTTTTTTGCTGTATGCGGGCCTTTCACTGCCGCGGCCCCTCCTGTTGCGGAGCACAGGCTCCGTCGCGCAGGCCCAGCGGCATGGCTCACGGGCCCAGCTGCCCCGTGGCACACAGAATCCTCCCGGACTGGGGCACGAACCCGCGCCCCCCGCATCGGCAGGTGGACCCCCAACCACTGCGCCACCAGGGAAGCCCTATCAATACGTTTTTTAAATGGGACTTTTTTTTTTTTAAACAAAAATGGATTTTTATAAAAATACTGTCTTGTAACCTGAGTTTTCCCCTCACTGAGGAAGATAACATGGCAGCTTCCCATGTCAGCAAAGGCAGGCCTCTGTCGGTTTTTGCCCCTTTCTGTGGCTGTTTGACGTGTCAGTGTTGCTGTGATGAGAATCTTCTGTCAGTCCCGCTTCCGTACCTCACACCCCTGGAAGTGAGTCCGGATTCCTGGGAACTTTATGAGGTGTTGAAACTCTGAGAAGGCGGCAGTGTCTCCTGCTGAGAACAAAACGTGACGCTCTAGTGCGCCTGTGTCCCTGGGCCTGTGGTCTGCCCCCTGGCATTCGCTGTGGGGCTGGGGCCTGTTTGCACCGGCCCCTCCCAATAAGTTGTTATTGTTGTGCCTACTTTATTTTCAGAGTTTCATGTTCTCTTTCTCCAGAAGGTTTCCCCAAACTGGACCTCATCTTAACCCCCTCCAGTCACGCGGCTGACGCGTCCCTCCCCGAGACCCTCACGGCCATGGTGTGAATGTAGCGGCCACTTTGACCTTTCCAACCTGCCTGACGGAGCCCCGCTCTGTCATCCCCTCCCTGTCCCTTTAGTTCCCGGGGCTCCGGGGGGTGGCGGGACCTGACCCTCTGAGGGCTCCCCTTCATTCCGTCCCCTGAAGGCCCCGCGACCCAGCCTCTGGGTGTGGATGGTCTGAGAGAAGACTTGGCCGAGTCTCCACAGGTCACATTGCTTTAAACTTAGAACCTTATCGAGCCTATGTGCCGGTAAACGTTCTTGTCTCACTTGTGACATCGCCGTCTCACTTGTGACATCGCCGTCTCTGTAACCTCCACACGGACTCGCTGCTCCAGCTGCTATGGCGACGGGGACACAAGATTGATCACGGTGGGGTTTATTGATTTCCAGTGGCAAATGGGTGGAAGAGGATGAGAACCCTGACCTCCACCCACAGACGAGTGAGTGGAGTCATGGGGGCCTCGGGGAGTGAGGGGGGCTGGCCGGGGGAGCTGGTGGAGCTGAGGAACAAGCCCACGAGGAGGAGGCCGCACCGGGGAGGGGGCGTGCGGTCCCGGGCCCAGGAGGATGGAGTCTGAGCCCACGGCGGGCGCCAGTCCACTCGGGTCCATGGGGCTCGGCTGAGTCAGCCGGCTCTGGGTTCTCCTGGGAGCAAAGCAGGCCACGTCCCCACGTGCCCCACCTGGGGGTCTTGATGCAGATGGGCTTGCCATGGCAGGGGGCTTCCAGGCTGGAAAACAGCGAGGGCTTGAGGGGGTGAATTAGGCAAAGGCGGGTGAAAGCCAAAGCATGGGAAAGTTCTAGACAGGCGCAAAGACGGTGTGACGGGGGCACAGTCATCGATGCACGTGCTCACTTTCGTAGGTTGTCCTGTGCTAAGCTTACAGTTTCTTAGATCTTTTCCCACGTTTGATTTGGAAAAAAGTTTCAAGTTATGTGGACATTTGTTTTTATGAGTTTAATTATTTTATTGTCTACGTCTTACAGATATGCTGGCAATTACTAATCTGAAATAAAATCTGATTAGAGATATTAAAATATTTATTTTGTTGCATCATTTTTAGATTTTCTTTTGTTTGTGAAGGCAGAGGGAGAGATGGAGTTCTGGGGAGGTTTCTTTTTAATAGAAAAAACTCAAGCATGTTTACATATATTTGAAGTTCCTAAGTTTTAGGAGAGTGTTTCATTTTACAAAAATGAGCCTTTTGTTTTGTTTTGTTTTGTTTTGTTTTTTGCGGTACGCGGGCCTCTCACTGTTGTGGACTCTCCCGTTGTGGAGCACAGGCTCTGGGCGCGCAGGCTCAGCGGCCATGGCTCACGGGCCCAGCCGCTCCGCGGCATGTGGGATCTTCCCGGACCGGGGCACGAACCCGTGTCCCCTGCATCGGCAGGCGGACTCTCAGCCACTGCGCCAGCAGGGAAGCCCAGTCTTTTAGTGTTTTGAATTTTATTTTATTTTTTATACAGCAGGTTCTTATTAGTCATCTATTTTATACATATTAGTGTGTACATGTCAATCCCAATTCAATTCATCCCACCACCATCCCACCCCCCTGCCACTTTCCCCTCCTTGGTGTCCATACGTTTGTTTCTCTACATCTGTGTCTCTACAGAAATGAGTCTTGAATCATTGAAAAAGATTGTTTTTTTTCTTCCTAGGAGACTACAAGGTCAGTAATCCCATCTGTGACCTGATAATTTATAAATATTTGGGGAGTTGTCAGGGTTGGGGGAATAAATGGTGTCCTTTGAATTAATGATGAAATTATGTTTACGTTACTGAAGATCTAAATAAGATACCAATCTATGTTAAGAAATTTTAATTCAATTGTAAATAGTTGTCAAAAGCCGTCTGTTTCTGCTCACTGACTACCCTCTTCTCTAAACAAACCATTATTCATACAAGAGCCTGGAGTCAGCATTTAATCAGAAGCTCTAACTTAGGCGCAGCAAAGCGTGTAAAAAGAAACCTAAGAATGTCACAGTTTGGAGATAATTCTTATGTCTTAAGGGTGAGTTGATGTGTAAGAAAGTAGGCTGTTGGGCAGATCTTAGGTATAGAGATTTAACAGTGCCTTTATTGTGGAAGCTGACTTTCAAAACCCTGTTGTCCTTGAATCATGTCAAGTGGGGCTAAAGCAGAAATAGCCCATTCGCAAGGTCCCCTTCTCCCTCCACCCCTTCAGCCACTGCGTTTAAGACCTGAGCTTTCACATCTGGGAAATACTTGGTTTTTAAGTTGTTTGCAGAAGCAAGGACGACCCTGCACTTTGAAGCCTGAGTGCCGTTCGCGTGTCTGGCGGGACTGGTGGCCCTTCTCAGGGTTTCCCCCGTACTTACAAGGCAGCCGGGCCTCCCTCCTGCGGGGCCGACTCAGGGGCCACTCCCAGTGAGCCCAGCCTCGGGAGGCAGGACAGTAAGGCCTAAGGGACGCACAGTTTAGCGTGTGTTTTAGAAATCGGTGCTTGGTTGTCGTTGACCTTGGAGGACTGTCATTTATCCCTGTTTCCTTGCAGCGCAGCTGACACCCAGTGTGTCCTTCTAACGTGTCGCCTTTTCACTTTAGCGCACCAAGTCCGGCAGGGATGGCAGCGGGGGTCCCCGCGGCAGGAGAGACGGGAGCGCTGGCAGTGGTGAGTGTCCCTGTTCCTGTCTCCCCGGACATGCCAGTTGACAGATTTCTAGTACACGGGCTTCTAGAAGCACCTTGAAGTAACCTGAAGATGTCCTGTTTGTTTGTTTTATACACAGTTAAACTTCACCTACTCTACTTTTGTGAGCATCAGGCTGCTGTGTAATCGAGTGTTTGTAGGTGTTAGTGGGCGTTGGTTCCTGAATAAACGGACCTGTTTCTGCTAATTGATGAATAGACAGTTCACATTGGATAGATTATCACGGGTGTCCATACTAGTGGGTTTTACTGTGTCACGTTTTTTAGGTTGCGTTGTGAGGAGGCGCCATGGGGCCTGGGGTCGTCACCTGGATGCTGACAGACCTGTACACTTGTAGTGTAGCAGTGGTGCTGGTGTGGGCACTGGGCGGCATGGCCATGGTCCCAGCTGTAGCCCTGTGTCTCTGGACCAGCCACGCAAATGCTGTCGCTTTGGGCGATTCTGTGGCTGCTGGGGACACTGTTACTTAATAAGAAGGTTTGTTAAGTTTTCCTCCCCTTTTTCCCCATCAACAAAATCTACCTTCTGTCTCTACTTCAGGGGATAGTAGAAGTTATATTTAGGGGAAATTGGATGGTTTTAAAGAAACTAATTAGAAAAACAAATGCTAAATTGGGATCCGAATCATGTCCGCTCGTAGCACCGTCGTGCAGACAGGACCCGACGTCATCCTCTTGTGTCTGTCTGTGGTCAGGAGTCACAACAAAGAGAAATGCGACCCTCGGTTTAGGGAGGCCTTTCTTTCGTTCGTTCGTTCATTTACTGGATGCACGCTGGGTGCCGAGGACATGGGGACGAATGAGACGGGGCCCCTGCCCTCAAGGAAATCAGGATCGACTTGGAAAGACACTCGGGCCCTGATCTGCTGAGGGCGCCGCCTGGCGGGGGTGGGGGCGCGGCTGGGACGGAGAGCACCCTCGAGGGCGGAGCTCTGCTCCCTCGGTGCGCCCAGGCGCTGACAGCCAGTGCCGTGCCTGGTCCAGCGGGACATCTGGATTCCCCGAGGGTCAGTCCCGCTGCTCCAGCAGAAGCCCCAGGCCTGGTCCCAGGGACCAGCACCCAGAGCTTGAGAAGTTGGCAGGGCGGCCCTGAGCCTGGGCCCTGTGTGTGCCGGGGCCGCCCCTCACCTCCCCGCCTCTGCCCCTCCCCGTCCCATGCGTGTGGGTGGCCCTCCATCCAGGTCCTGGTCTGGAGACCTGTCCCAGCAGCTCTCAGTCCCTTGTCCAGCAGGGCCACCTGCGGTGGAATTCGGCATCTTGCGGAGTTTAGAGAAGTATGTATTGTGACGCATTAGCCATGTACCCTGTACCTCCCCTGGGGAGCACCTCCCCTGGGGAGCACCTCCAAGTCAAGGAGTCTCACTACTTCAGGGAAGCGTGAATATTCACACTAAGGATAAGCAATGGCCCGGAATAGCTGCAGGTCAAGTCAGGTTTTATTCTTGACGTGAAGTTGTGTTTCTGCCTGGAAACCTGGCTTTAGAGCTCTTTGGAATTTGGATTGTCGTTGAGGGGCTGTGGGTCTGCGTCTGCCAAAAGCATTGAAGCAGCTTGGGGAGGGTCTGGGCAGCCCGCCAGCTGGCCGAGGTGGGAGCTCTTGAACTGCGTGTCCCTCGAAGGAGTAACCCCCAGGGAAGTGTCAGTTACTTACTGAGTTCTAGGACCAGATTCACCACCCTCTAAGATCCTCCACGTCCCGCTGAAAATCTTGAGCTCAGAGTAACCCTAACGCACACCCATCACCAAGCCTGCCCTCGGTCCGCAGGGCCTTCCCTGGTCACCGTGGGCTTGTGACGTGTCGCTGAGGCCCCTGGGGGTCCTCACGTTCAGGGTCCACTTGGGAGACTCCAGCCCTCCAAGCGAGGTGTCCTGAGAGCTGCCGGTGCTGAGCCGGAGCCCAGACGACGGTGTCCACCCCAGAGAGTGGCCCCCGACCCGCCTCCCACGTGCCACCCCACGCAGAGGAGGGCGCCTCCTGGGCCAGCCTCCCCACCACTGCCGTTTCTCTCTTAGTAGGTTTTCCTTTCTCCCATCCAGTGCGTTGCAGCCCAGCACAAACAGGCAGTCCTGGGGCACAAACACGCTTCTTGGAGCCGAAGCTCCAGCCGTGGGCCTTGTGGGCCAGGGGTCGTGGACCTGGCTCTGGGGCAGGTTTAAAGCAGCTCCCGGCTCCCGGGGGGCTTGCCTCTCTCTCTCTCTACACTTGCTCTTTTGTTCCTGTTTCCCATCATCGCCGACACCCCACTTCCTCCTGGGGCCCCTCCCTGTCCCCGGAGCCTGGCTCTCGGCCCCCCTCCAGCTCGCACAGGCCGGGGACCGGCCCGCCCAGCTTTGGGGTCTGAGCCCACTGGGCTTCCTCCTTGCTTCGCCTTGCGGCCCCCGGAACACCCTGGGCCCCGTGGATGAGCCCCCCCTCAGCAGCGTCCCGCCCCCGCCCCCTGCAGCCCCCCGTGGGCCGAGGTCGCTGGCCATCCCTCGAGCTCCCAGCACGGCCTGCGTGTTGAAGGGTGCCCGGGGCCCACCACCTTCCACCTCTGCCCCGGGAGACCCAGCGGCACACGTCTCAGCCTGGAACTCTCTGGCACTCTGTCTGGATGAGACCCGCAGCTCATATAGGGGAAAGGGACAATTTTCTATGTGGATCCAGGTGAGGCCAGCCTGGAGCTGTTAAGTATGATGTGTTAAAATTAAGTGCAGCGCCTACAACTAGGTTTTTAAAAGTGTTGCCTAGGAGAGAGGACCATAGGGAACATGTCATCGTAATTATTCGTTTGTATAAAATGGCTGTTTCTGAAATGCCTGAGGGCCCTTGAAAATTGTTCTTTTTCTGTGCACCAGACTCTGGTCTCTGTTAATTTGCTGATTGACCTCAGCACCCTTCCTCACGTGTAGCATTTGAGTGTGTAGCAGAGTCACTGGAAAGGCTGGTTAAAACAGACCCGAGCCCCCAACCCCGGTGACCGGCCCGGGGTCCTGTGTTTCTGACCAGGTCCCAGCTGCCGCTGCTGGTCCTGGGACCACACCTGGAGAACCAATGCTGTATCTCAAAGGAGAGAATGCAGATTACATGCGGCCTCGTGTATGTAAAAGGTCACCACCACTACTACCACCAAACCCACGTTCACGTATGTGGCAGTCTCTGGTCACCCAGCCTCCGGGCTCCGTCACCCACAGGGGGTTCCCCCCGGGAGGTGGTGTGAGACCCGCCTGCACACGCCGATGCTGGGCAAACAGTATGTTGTTATTATCACTTACACAAATCGCGCTGGGAAGCAGCAGCGTTTGCTTTAGAGCTTTGCAGGATTTTCAGTACTTTAGTTTGTTTTTTACAGAATAAGCTTAAAATGAAATGAACTTGTTTTAAGTACTTGAAATAAAAAATGCATTACCCTTAAATGCAAAATTTTGGCTTCAGGTTTTAACAGCTCGGTGCCAAAACATCAGTTGAGAAAAACAATTAAATCAAATGCACGTGCACAGGCAGAGCTGAGCTCCACGAGTTCAGGGTCCACATGGCCGCCCCGTAGCGTCCGCAGGGATGAGGGGTGAGAGGGACAGCATGTTCCCGAGGCCGGGAGCCGGACAGGTGGCCTCTCCTGCGGCCCTGTCTGCCCTTGGGGGACAGCGGGTTTGCTGACTGACTCCGCGTACTGGGTTATGAAGGTTTTGTGTTAAAATTGTTGGTCGTTTACTGCGTGTGATACTTAATGGTTTACTGCGTTTTTCAGTCTAATTTTTATTCTGTCTTGGGTGTGAACGTCTCTTATGCACTATTTCCATTCCATATTTGGATTCTATAATCCTTTTAAGGTTTTTCCTTAAATTGGGCCAGAATCTATCCTCCTCTGCCGGGCACATCTGACCCCTTCTGTACTCATTCTCCAGGCCTGTGAAGAGTTGGGGGGCGGTGCCTGGGCCAGGCTCGCCGGCCTCTCCCGCCCCTCACCTGCCCAGGCCTCTGACGGCTCCCAGGCTCCACGTGGGCGACGACCCAGCCCCTTCCCCCCACCCGCTGCCCCACTCCGCGCCAGGGGGTGTTCGCCAGTGTCTCCAAGCACACGGTGGAAAGGGTCTGATGAAGCCTACTCTTGAGTGATGCTTTGACTATATTATAGGTTCCCAACAAGAGATTTCTTTTAAATTTCAAAAAACAAGGATTACATCCTTTGGAAATTGGCTGTCAAATGAAACAGCCTTCCTGTTTCTTGACAGATAAGTAGACGTTAAGATTTGTAATGCAGTGTGATGTTGCCCACCGTGCTGAACACATGTGCTTTTGCTCCTGTGTCTCCAGACGGCGGCCAGAACTGTGGTGCCGGTAGCAGAGGCGAGCGGCTCAGCGCCCAGCTCCGAGCCCTGCCCAGGACGGAGGAGCCTTACGACAGCAGCAGTAACAAGGAGCTAGGCAAGTGCCCGGGCCTGGCAGGTCTGGACTGGAAGGGACGGGCAGACGCGTCCACCTGGGCGTTATTAAGGGTTTTCCAGCACAGACAGAAGTTTTACATGACTTGGGAGAGCGTTTCTTTTCATTCTGGGTTGTTCAGTTTTGAAGATGAGCCTCATTGGTTTCACATTTGCTGTTTTTCCCTGTTCCTCTAATGCAACCATCTGTTCTGAAACCTAGACGCCTCCTATGTGGATCCGCTTGGCCCGCAAATAGAAAGACCCAGAACTGCAGCCAAAAAGAGAGTCGACGAGGATGATTTTGCTGATGAAGAATTAGGAGATGATTTGCTTCCAGAATAATATATATTTTAATGTATTATTTATTAATTAAAGGGAAGGAATCGCCTTACAAGATAATACTCATGTTAAAGTTTGGATTAAATACCCAAACTTTAATTTTGCACACTGTCAAAACTTTAAATAAGTGTATTCTGTTCTGTGAGTATGGATTTAGATTTTGTTTTGCTTTTAATGGAATAAAAACATGTGAAAATAATACTTTAGGCCAGAGACTGACTTACCCTCTTGAAAACATTGACCCACAGTAAGAAATAGATCTTGTAGCACTCCCTAGGACCTCCACACACGTAAGTATTATTACTCACTGATTACTACAGTGTGTGCTGCTGTCTTCTGTAATTTCATTGAGACAACCTGTGAGTAATGGAAACACTCTAGTGATTTCATGGTTTGCAGCTTGACAGCTGTGCTGGGACGCGCCCTTGATGAGTCTGTATTCAGGTAAGTTGCTTTGGAAGTGTTGCGTTGTGGGGATTCCAGCGCTAGTAAAGCAGCTGTTTGGGGGCAGTAAAGTAGTGAGAGAGCAGCAGCCCGTGGCCCCTTCAGCCCCCAGCGCGGCAGCCTCGAGTTGTGCTTCCCGGTGAAATGCGGGGTCGAAGCCAGGACTGCGTGCATCCTTCTTACGGTATGTCTGGCTGGCGGGCATCGTCCAGAGGAGTGCGGTGGTGGGCAGTCAGGGCAGACGCGGCCGGTCTGTCACACCTCACGAGAGAGAGTGGACCCTCCACCTCACTTTACGCTGTTTCCACGGCATGCACACTTGTGTTGGGTGCGGGAGAGGAAACGCCAAAAGCAGAGCACATTCCCTGCTCGCAGAAGAAGTTATGATCTGATGGGGCAGGCGTTCACCAAATACACTAAACGGCTAGTGTGCGAGAGCGTGAGGCTACGGTCGTGACGGAGACAGCAGGGCCCTGCCCTCAAGGAGCGTAAATGCTGGCGGGGGACGCGGACAACAAGTGTATTTTTTTGATGGGCTTTGGGTGTTGTTAAGGGCGGCGAAGAGAGTGAAGTGGAGGAGTGCCACGGAGCGTGACGGTGGCGGAGGGGGCGAGCTGGGGAAGCCCTCCAGGGGCATTTGTGTCAGCAGCAGGCAGACGCGCTTCGGGGCTTGAAGGGCCCGGGCCCCCGGGGCAGGGCCGGGCCTCGTGGAGCCCAGCGGCGCCTGAGGCTTCACTCTGTAACAGCGAAGGCGCCCTTGGCAGGTTTCGCTGGGGGAGGGCGCGTGACGTGACGTGGTCTAACCTCGGGAGCAGCGAGCCCGCCGCCCTGAGGGGGTTGGCTGGGGCGGGCGGCCTGCGTGGGAGAGGGGCGCCTGGGGGCTGTGAGGGTCGGTGCGGCCCAGCACGCGTTTGGGAGGGAGAGCTCGGGAGAGTTACCGGTGGCCTGTGTGCGGGTTGTGAGCAAGAGGAGAACACGATGGCAGCGTTTGTGGCGGAGGCGCTGAACGGCCGGGGTTGCCTTTCTCTGAGGTGGTCGCGTCAGGGCAGCCAGTGCTGCCACACTAGGGCCCCGGGAAAGCAGCGAGCAGACCGTGTGCTGTGCGTCAGGAGGGCCGCGAGCAGCAGGGCTAAGCGACAGACGTGCGTTCGGAGCCCAGGCGAGAGGTGGGGAGGAGAGATCCGAGGAGGGAGACGGAAGTTAGTCATCTCGGGAGAAGTATATAACTCGGAAAGTGTGACAGGCCCGCGTGTGGAATGACCATCTGAGATGCGGCGCACGCCCAGCTGTATGAACGGAACAGAGTGGGGTTGTTCCAGGCAGATGTCACAGAGCGAAAAAGGAACAAGGGACCAGGGTATTTGCAGGGGCGTGGTGATCGCGTCGAACCACCAACTCTGCCCCAGCCGAGAAGGGAAACTAGGACTCGCGTGGGGTGGCTGGTGAAAAGGCAGGGGCAGCAGACGAGGTCAGACAGCCAGCTACAGGACAGGTGCGGAGAGAAGGTGCTGGTGTCGGGGGCCACTCACACACTCGGACGGACGGGGAGCCGCTCCTGGTAATGAGCGCAGGGGTTGCAGTGGGGGAGCACAGGCTTCCAGAGTCGAGACGTGCTGGGGGAAAGCAGGTGGAGCTGGGGTAGCCAGTTAGAGGCCAGGTCTTGGGTGGCTCCTCCACAGGTGTTAAAGGTGCGGGAATGAGGTGCAGGCGTGGTGGGACCTCCAGGTGCTGCCCGCGAAGACGACAGAAAGAACTCTTGGTGGGGAGACCTGACCTTCGGAGGAGGGAAGGAGGTTTGGATCCGTCAGTAACCCAGGAAGGTAAGTGGACGTAGCCACCCCTACCCCGGCTCCCATGCCAGGGAGCTACAGCCGGTCTGGCACTGGGGGACTGAGTGATCCAGGGGCTGAGAGAGGAACGGCTCTCGTTGCGGAGAACACTGTAGAGGAGTTAGCTTCCAAGGGAACGTGAGGAGGCTGCCTTTGAGTGTTTTGTCGCCTTTTTCTCACTCGTCTTGACGTTGGACCGAACTAAGAGCATGTTTATTTCACACGTTCATAAATATGTTCAGGTTTGAGGGCAATTGACTGCAGACATTTTGCACCTGTTGAGAAGACAATTTCTCAACTCTGCTTAGCATCACAGAAATGCATTTTATGTTCTATCAAGTGGGCAAGCATCTTCAGTAGTTTATGATCTTTCATAAAATGAAAAGTGTTGGAAAGTAAATACCTTCGTTTCCAAGTAACAGGGGAGGAGAGAGAAGTTGCCATGTTATCAGACAATGGAAGATATTTTGTTGAATAATATATAGAATGAGCGGTGTGGCGCTGTATTGCCTTACCTTTCCAAGGATGAAACTGCTGTCTCCTAAAGGATTCCCACACTTCTACCACATTTAAAAAAAAACAGTATGTGTTCGTGTACTGATATGTTTATTCCCATTTTACCAGAAAGAACACAATTTCTCTACTAATCAGAAAAAAAGTTTTGTAACCTCAAAACAAACGTTTACTCACCAAGCTGTAAATAGCTTAAATGGCTTAAATTGGAGATTTCTGTGGGATTTTGAGCAGTCAATAGGACAATCCCTAAACTCTTCAGTTATAGAATATTCAAGGCATACAAGTGTTGTTTTTCTACACAGCATACTGAAATGTAGTTTAACCAGTGATTTACAAGGCAGTCAAATACCAAAGCTGGAAAGCATTTAGAGAACAATCAATTATGTATTTTCTATACCTTCGAAAACCTTTCAGCTGTTATCATTTGTTTTCATTGGCCAAGTATGACTGCCGTAAAATGAGCGTATTCACTAGCCCACCACCTAGAAAGCATTAAGCATTCATTTACAGAATGAACGAACGAGCACGTTTGCTTTGGTTCTTGAAATAGAATTCCCTCGTGTAAGTATATTTTCTTTATTTACAAAGTATTAGGCTTATTTTACATGACTGCGCGCGCTTACAGTCCCGGCATCACGAAGCAGGAGTTCCTGACCCTGTAGCGCCCAAGGATGCCCAGTTCCGGCCATAAAAGTGCAAGCTGGGTAGAATGTTTGGTGCTTGGATTTCGGAGGTGCTAGTGGGGCAGATAAGGACCGCTTCCTGGTGTCTGGGGGAAGGAGAAGCGCCCCCGCCCCCCGTTCGGAACGCTCTCCATCTCCAGTCCCTCAGAGGAAGTCGTGGCGAAGAAGCTGCTTCCAGGCCCCGCGCGCGCCTCTCCAGGTGCCCGTCCCGCTCCCGCGGCGCCTTCGTCCGGGAGGCTCTTCGCGGCGGCCGGACCCGGCCGACTTCCCTTCCAGCCGAGGCGCCTCCTTCCGCTCAGCGCCGCGCGGCTCCGTTCGGGACGTGTCCGCGCCTCCGCGACCACCGGAGCCACTTCGGGGCGATGCTGGGGCCGCCGGTGAGTGCGCGGCGCAGCGGCCGCGTCTCGGTCCCCGGGCGCCGCCGCCCTCCGTCCCGGGCCGCCTCGTGGGGCCCGCGCGCCCAGGACACGCGGGGGCCGCCGAGGGGCCCGGGCGCCGTCATAGGCACTCGCAGCCCGCGGCGCAGCAGCCCGGCCGGCACACGCACACGCGCACCGCGCACCCGCGGCCCACGCGGACCCCTGCTCGGGGCGGCGGCGGCGGGGGGCGAGCGGGCCGCCTCGGGGGAGGGCCCCGGGGTGCCCGCGGGCGGCGCGCGGG